ACTCAAGCTGCGCGACGAGCTCCTGCTTGGAGTCTTCCTTCGCGGCCTTCATCTTGCTCTTGAAGTCCTTCTCCATCTTCGCCACCTTGGCGGCGTGAGCAGCAGCGAGACGCTCCATTTTACCTTCCCAGAGCGCGTTGAGCTTTTCTTCAGTCTCAGAGGTATTAATCTTCTTGGAGTTTTCGCTTCGCATCAGCGCGTAAAGCGCGCGTCGCTCGCCTTGAAGCGAGCGCTTCAGGCTCGTCATCTGTCCTTCGTACTCAGATTCCATAGCCGCGCGCGTTGCCTTTTGGGTAAACTCAAGCTGCGCGACGAGCTCCTGCTTGGAGTCTTCCTTCGCGGCCTTCATCTTGCTCTTGAAATCCTTCTCCATCTTCGCCACCTTGGCGGCGTGAGCAGCAGCGAGACGCTCCATTTTACCTTCCCAGAGCGCGTTGAGCTTTTCTTCAGTCTCAGAGGTATCACTCTTCTTGGAGTTTTCGCTTCGCATCAGCGCGTAAAGCGCGCGTCGCTCGCCTTGAAGCGAGCGCTTCAGGCTCGTCATCTGTCCTTCGTACTCAGATTCCATAGCCGCGCGCGTCGCCTTTTGGGTGAACTCAAGCTGCGCGACGAGCTCCTGCTTGGAGTCTTCCTTCGCGGCCTTCATCTTGCTCTTGAAGTCCTTCTCCATCTTGGATACCTTCGTGTTGTGCGCCGCGGCAAGACGATCCATCTTACCCGACCAGAAAAAATTGAGTCTTTCCTCAGTTTCATTGATAGCCGTCTGCAGTGCATCAGCGGAGAAGTTCCTCATCTTAGCAGATTCGTTCATCGCGAGTTCATAAAGCGCTGCGCGCTCGTTTTTCGCCGTTGAGAGCTGTTTGTTAACTTCCGCAATCGCAGCCTCCTTCTCGGCCATCAACTCGGCGGTGATTCGTAGTTCCTCACTCTTCAATTCGGCACTGAGCTGGAGCTTCTCGTCTTCGTGAAGCTTGAGTTGATCTGCGACCGCCTCAACAAGTTCCTGTCTCGATGCGGCGATGTCGCGCGCGTGAGCTTCCTTGAGCTGTTCAAGGCTTCTCGTGTGCGCGCTTTGAGCCGCGGCCGCAGCGCTCTCGTAAGTCGCCTTGAGCACAGCCATCTCGGATCTTATGGAGGCGATATCCTTGGCTGTCGATTCCTTCATCTTCTCGAGGCTTGCCGCGTGCGCGCGTTGAGCCGCATCCGCCGCACTTTCGTACGTCGCTGTGAGCGAACGCTTGAGTTCGCTCATTGCAGCATCGTTCGCCTGCAGGTTGGCCACTTCAGCATCTTTCAGCTTGCCCTCGTACTCGCGCTTGAGTCGCGCCATCGAATCAGAGTGTTGTGCCTCGAGCTCCACTTGTTTCTTTTGCACTTCCGCGATGAGCCTCTTCTCCGCCTCGACCATCTCAACACGTATGGCGTCGGCGTCATTCAGCTTACCATCGTAATCGCGCTTGAGTTGTGCCATCAAGTCAGCATGTTGCGCTTCGAGTGCGGCTTGCTTCTTCTGCCAGTCCGCGGTGATCTTCGTCTCCGTTTCTGTCAACGAAGCACGCAGTTCAATCTTCCAAGCTTCTTCCTTCTCCTTCATGAGAAGTTCGATCGCTTGTCGCTCAGAAAGTGCCTCAGCGATCGCGCGCTCAAGTTCGCGCTCCGACTGTGACCGTATCTCAGCGACAGCGCGCTGGAGCTCGCCCTCCGATTCAGACTGAATCTCAGCGACGGCGCGCTGGAGCTCGCTCTCTGATTCGGACTGAATCTCAGCGACGGCGGTGACGAGCTCAGCTTGCGTCTTGTTCGCAACCGCCACAGTCTCTTCGAGCTTGGAAATGAGTGTGAGCTTTTCAGTTTCAATCGCAGTGATTGTTGCGTGCAATTCGGTGCTGGCGGCTTCCTTCAAATAGATAACCTTTTGCAGCTTGCCGACTTCGGAGAGCATCATCGCTTTTTGGGCGTGGTACAAGCCCTTGGCGGCGCGCACCTTTGCGAGGAGATCCTTTCGCTCAGCGTCAAATTGCTCAGCCATGTTAATAACTTCAGCTTCGAGCTTAGCGATCGTATTCTTCAGCAGCGCCGTGTCGCGTTCAAATTGCTCGCGCATGCGTTGCTTTTCGATTTCGAACGCAGCCTTAGCGTTATCGAGAGCCTTCGCCTTGTCCGCGGCGGCGCTCTTGTTCTGATCGCGAAGCTTGCCGATTTCCATCTCGAGTCGAGCGACTTCCGAGCGATGGCGCTCTTCTACACGTCGCATTTCACTATCGAAACCGGACTGTTTCGCCTCCAACTCAGCCATTTCAGCCTCGAACTCTTTCATCATGACTTCGCGAAGAGCCTCGAGACGTTCAAAAGACCGCGCCCCACGTTGCATGGCGGACCGTGACAGTTCTTCGCTGTACGAACGCCTCAAGATAGACGAATCGGCGAGCGAACGAACGAGGAAAGCCACCGCGCACGTCGCCGTGGCCGCTGTGACCGCGCTGAGCACGCACGCGACGCTCACGCCGTACGCCTGCACCATGACGATGGACAGGAGGGAGCCGAACGCGTACGTCAAGCACGTCGACAGCGCCCCTGGGACGGTGGACATCCCACCAAACTTGCTCCAAAAATACGCCGACACGAGCGTCGCAACCGTAGTTGCGCTCGCACGAATCGCGCTCGCACCGGGCGTCGTCGCCCAAGCGAGACCGCCGAGCTTGACAAAGGCGTAATCCGCCGCGCACACCGCTCCGACCACCGCGCCCGCCGCGAGCAGCGTTCGCGCGACGTTATCCGGCCCGCTCGAGCTCCCACCCCCCGTTCGCCGCACCGTCGTCGCCGTCGTCGTCGTCGTACGCTCGCTCGTCGCGCTCTCGTACGTAAACTTCAACCCGCCGTCCGCGTTCGACGCGGCGACGACGCCGGCGCGCGCGATCGCCCCTCGCCCACCCCGCATCGCCCTCCCGCGACCGACGCGCGCGACGACCGATCGCCGCGTCGTCGACGCACCGCTCGCGTCACCCTCCGTGCGTCCGCGCGCGCTCGCCGTTCGTGCGCTCACGCCGTCGTGCGTCCCCGTCGACGTCGTTCGCCCGTTCGTTCGCCATCGCGCGACGTTATCCGCCCATCGCGCGCCACGCCCGCGCGCGTTCGCCCGCGCGATCACCGAGGTCGACGACGACATCGACGAACGATCGCGCGCGCTCGGACGTGCGGCGTCGCGGCGTCGCGCGTGGACGCACCACCGCCCATCGCGCGCGATCGTTCGCCCATCGCGCGCGAACGCCACCCTGACACCCCATCGGTGTGGGCGAACAGTGTGCGCGCGCGATCGACACACCGCCGGTGTGGGCGAACAGTGTGCGCGCGCGATCGACACACCGCCGGTGTGGGCGAACAGTCTGCGCGCGCGATCGACACACCGCCGGTGTGGGCGAACAGTATGCGCGGTCACCCGAGCGATCCAGGTGGGGTAGGGTTTAGGGTATAGCCCCGTCGCACGCGCGGCATCTCCGGCGCGCGGCGCGCGCGAGGCGGTCGCGGTGCGCGCGAGGCGCCCAGATCGCGACGGGCGCGCGGTTGACGGCGACGGCATGGCGAGTCTGTTCGCGCGATGCGTCCCGGGGTCGATCGACGCGCTGGAGGCGGCGGCGCGAGGGATGATGCACGCGCAGCTCGCGCTCGGATTACTGGGCACGAGCGCTGGGTTTCACGGCTCGGGGTACCTCGCGGGCGTGGTCGCGATGTCCGCGCTAGGCCTCGTCGCGATCGAGACGTCGACGAAAGCGTTGCTCAAGGTGCGCGAGCGCGACGGCGCGGATGGGGGGGGGAGAAGGGCGCGGACGAGGGGCGCGCGGGCGCGGTTTCGCGTCGGAATGTCGCGTCGAATGACTTCGCGTTCGAATTTTGCGTCTTTGTGATTTCGTCATCGCGCGCGTCGCGTGGGGCGTGAGAATGAGAAGACTGACGTGCGCGCGCGTTCGTTTGCGATTCGTAGTACACGGCGGCGACGTATTGGTTCACGATATGGCTCGATATCATTTGGTTGGGAGTGTACCTGAGGGACGCGATTGATGAGACGAAATGGACCAACTCTATCCACCGACGAGGGAACGAGTTCGCGTGCGGAATGATTGTCATGATTTGTTTGCTCAGAATCCCTCAGTTCTTCGTTTGGTGCAAGATGTGGGATCTGGGCTTCCGATCAGGCGCGCCGCAAGCCTCGCGATACGTTGATTTCCAAGCCAACCCGGCCGCTCGTACTGAGTTCGGCTCTCCTCCGACTCCGAGCGGTTCGGCGTTTGCGCAACCGCCGCGATCGCCGGCCCCGTCATCCACGCCGCCGCCACCTCGCCCAGTTCAATCGATGGTGGTGTCGCCGACCGCTGTTGCTCCTCCAGCTCCTCTCGCCCCGCCCGCCGTTGTTTCCTTCACGCCAAGCGGTGGTGATGCGTACCAACCGCAATAAATATTCAATGGCACGATTAGCCTCGTCAAATGATAAATATGATTTTGCTAAGGATTTGCTACTACAAACAACTTTGTCTCATTTCGCCGTTTCTGCTCCTCACTCACTGTGGAGGCGTCTCCGTCAGCGGACGCCTGCGAACGAAGCACGCGCGCGAGGTCAGAGGGGTCTCGCGCGAAACGTAACACTCACGAATGTGCGCGAAAAAATACAATCCTCTGTGCGACGAGACCGCTTTTACGCACCTGTATAACATGATGTGCGGTTCGGGTCGGTGAATCGCTGCGCCAGTCGCGAAACAAGTCGCCGTCAGTCTCAAATCTCTCCCACGCACTCACTCGACGCACCGTAATGCACCCATCCTCTCGATTGCTGTACACCCAATCCGCGCCACTCGGTCTGCGATTTACGAACGCACTCACTCGTCAGTCACATTCGCGCCTCCCTCCGCGCGCTCGCCGCCCAGGGGAAAGAGCGCGACGCGCGCTCGCATCCCGTGCGCGTCGCGTCTCCATCGCTTCATCACGCGCCAACCCGCACCTCGGTCAACAAACGGTTCTTCGGAAGGAGTTTCGCGATGTCCGGAGGTAAAACCACGTGTCTGGTCGCGCGCACACGACGCGAACACTCGTCAGTCGTCCGTTCGTCTCTTCACGAAATCCGACCGATACATCCGTTAAACGCGTCGACGCGACTCGGTAGACGCACCTGTACTCGTACACGTCGTCGTAATACTTTTCGCTGTACTGAATCTGCGGCATATCGAGCGCGTTCGGGGGCGAAGTGACGCGTTCGCGACGAAGACGCGCGAGAGAGATGCTTCGGGAAAAATCGTTCGACAGCTGGGGTGAAAATTCAAACATTTAGGAACAAGACAGTGCTAGGAATCGTGTTGGCGGGTGGTTTTACAGCGCTACGTGAGGTCGTGTGATCACTTGTCGAGCGCGGTGGTGAGCGTTTGCAGGGCTTCGTCCAAAGCGGCGTCGAGCTGGGTGGCGTCGCGACCGCCGGCTTGGGCGAAACCGGGCTTGCCGCCGCCGCCACCACCGCAGCGCTTCGCGGCGGCGCCGAGGACTTGTCCAGCCTTGAGATCACCGTCTTTTTGGACCTTCGTGTCGAAGAGGGCGACGAGACCGACGTTGTCGCCGTTGGCGCTACCGAGGATGACGGCGGCGCCGTCACCGAGTTGCGTGGCGAGGTTTTCGGCCGCCACCTTGAGCGCGCCGGGGTCTACGCCGTCGAGGCGAGCGACGAGCACCTTGGATTCGCCCACAGCGCGAGCCTCGGAGACCAACGCGTTGGCCTTGGCGACCGCCAATTCGCCTCGAAGAGATTCTGCGAGCTTTTGCGCAGCGACTAAATCCTTCTGCATACCGGACACGCGGCTGGCAATCTCCTCGGGGGGCACTCGAAGAGTGCTCGCGAGCTGCTTCACCACCGCGTCTCGCTGTTGCAAGAGCTCGACAACGCCCGCACCGGCGACGGCTTCGATGCGTCGAATGCCGCTCGCGATACCGGCCTCGCTGATGATTTTGAATCCTCCGATTTCTGCAGTGTTGGAGACGTGCGTACCCCCGCAAAGCTCCATGGAGATGCCCGGCACGTCGACCACTCGGACGACGTCTCCGTACTTCTCCCCAAACATCATCGTCGCACCCTTCTCCTTCGCAGCGGCGATCGGCATCTCCTCAGCGGTGAGATCCGCGCTTTGGGAGATCCAACCATTGACTAAAGTTTCAACCTCCAGCAGTTGCGCCTCGGTGACCGCCTTGGGACAGTTGAAATCGAAGCGAAGTCGATCAAAGCCGCACAGCGAGCCAGCTTGTGAGACGTCGTCGCCGAGAACCTTCTTGAGTGCGGATTGGAGTAAGTGCGTCGCGGTATGATTGTTCCTCGCGCGTCGGCGAGCGTTTTCATCAACGTTGGCCGACACTTGACTACCTTTCTTAATAGAGCCCTTCACAACAGTCGCGGAGTGGACGATGATACGACCACCTCCAGCCTTCTGCACGTCGGTCACTTTGAGCACCGCGCCATCGGCGGAGTGAAGGAAACCGTTATCACCGACTTGACCACCACTTTCGGCGTAGAACGGAGTGACATCGAGCACGACGTCGACACGCGCGCCTCCAGAAGCCTCCTCCACGGACTCTCCTCCAGAGACAATCGCGAGAACGTTCGAGACGTCGCTGGAAATGTTGTCGTATCCAATGAACTCACTCATCGCACCGAGTTCGTCGGCGACTTGAGCCAAGGCATTACCAGCGGTGACGTCCACGGTTTGATGCGCCGCCTGGCTCATCGAGCGCTGTTCTGCCATCGCCTTCTCGAAGCCCTCGAGATCAACCGCAATCCCAGCCTCGGAGGCGACATCCGTGGTGATATCAAGCGGAAAACCATACGTGTCGTACAGCGTAAACGCATCCTTGCCACTCAACCCAGACTTACTGTCTTTAGCCTTCTCGATTAGTTCGGCGAGCATCTCTTCGCCACGGCCGAGTGTTTTCTGGAAGCTCAATTCCTCGCGTTCGAGCTCGGCGAGGATGCGCGCCGTATTCTTTACCACCTGAGGATCGCACTCCTCTGACATGGAGATGGCAACCTCGGCGATGGACGGCGTGAACGCACTCTGTCCGTCAGCCGGCTTGATTCCAAGAAGACGTCCGTTGCGCACGACACGACGCAGAAGGCGTCTGACGATGTACCCTCGGCCGATGTTGGACGCGAACACGCCGTCAGAAATCATGTACGTCACGGCACGCGTGTGGTCGCCAATCACCTTAAGTTGCTGCTTTTGCGTGGCACTGCATGAGGCGTAGTCTAGACCAGCCATCGACGCCGCCTTGTCGATGATGGGTCTGATGAGATCGGTCTCGTAGTTGTTTGAGACACCCTGAAGAATCTGCGCCATGCGCTCGAGACCCATACCGGTATCGATATTTTTATTCTTCAGAGGCTTGATGCCGCCGTCCGCATCGCGATTGAGCTCCATGAAGACCAAGTTATAGAACTCGATGAAGCGCGAATCGTCGTCTAAATCGGCCCCGTCCAACCCGCGCTCGGGGTGAAAGTCGTAATAAAGCTCCGAGCACGGACCGCACGGACCGGTCGGACCGGCGGCCCAGAAGTTATCCTTCTCGTCCATGCGCTTGATGCGGCTCTCCGGAACGCCCACGACGTCTCGCCAAATCGCAAACGCCTCGTCGTCCTCGCGAAACACGCTCACCCACACCCGCTCAGGGTTCAATCCGAACTCATTCGTCGCCAGTTCCCACGCCCACTCGCACGCCTCTCTCTTAAAGTAATCCCCAAAACTAAAGTTTCCGAGCATCTCGAAAAACGTGTGATGCCTCGCCGTGACCCCGACGTTTTCGATATCATTCGTCCGCACGCACTTCTGCGTCGTCGTCGCTCTCGGCATCTCCCGCTCTCTCTGTCCCATGAACACCGGCTTGAATTGCAACATTCCCGCAATCGTGAGTAACACCGTGGGATCCTCCGGCACGAGCGACGCCGACGGCTGCCTGGAGTGTCCTCTCGCCTCGTAAAACTCCAAAAACCTCCGACGAATCCCTCGTCCGCTGTTATCCTTCCCCTCGGCGTTCGGGTTCGCCCGCGTCCCGGTGCTCTGGTCGTTCGTCGCCGTCCCGAGCGCGCGAACGCGTCGTCGAGCGCTGGCAATCGACGACGCGCGCGATGCGGTCGACCCGAGGGCGAGCCTGAGCTGGGTGACGAGCGATTTCGCGGCGCCGTCGACGCGCGTGCGCATGACGACGACGCGCCGACGAGCGACGGGCGAGATGCGCGCGCGTGCGTGCGCGAGCGCGGGCGCGGTGGCGTGCGCGAACCCCGGGCGAGGCATGGGAGTGAGGCGTAAGCGGAGGGCGAGGTCGATGACGTCCCGTTCGCGCCTGGTAGGGCGAACAGTCGCGCGGACGGATCGACACGGTTTTGTCTACTGAAACGCGTCGTCACAAATGATTTATTCGCTAAAGTGGGCGAGGATGATTTGTTTTAGGGCTTTCATGCGCTCCACCAACGCGGGGCTCATCATCGCCGCGGCGTCGCCGCGTAAGTTTTTCTTCCCGGCGCTCTGGTAAAAGTTGTCGACGATGACGTCGATGAGGGCGAGGAGGTCTTTGGGCTCGCACCAGAGAAGGTCGGTGTTGGCGCCGACCTCCTCGAGCTCCGGTCCTGGGGTGAAGGCTTCTTCAAGGGCGTTTCTTTGATCTATCGGGTCCTCCATGGAGAGGATGTACTTCAAGATGCGGACCTCTTTGGGTTGCTGACGCGCAGTCGTGTCCTTCATCTTAAAGTACAAGTGCGCCATGACGTCCTTGATCTCATCCTTGGTGTACTGGCTCTCCTTGACGCTCATGTACGCCTTGGATGCGGTCAAGACCAACGCCGGGGTGATCTGATTCGCCATGGCCAACTCGTCGATCTTGGCGTCCATGGCGTCCAAGCTATCCGCCTGCAGGATGTCCTGCAGCGTCTGCGTCGCCTGCTCGATCACCTGCTGATCCTTCGACGCCTCATCGTACGTCTCGCACAGCGACAACAACAGCGCCGCTTCCTTCGTCAACTCCTCCTTCGCGTTATCGTCCTCTCCTTGCGCCACCGCCTCGAGCTTGAATCGTAACCACGTGAAGAACTCCACCGTAAACTCGCGCCTTCTCGTTGCGACGAACCCCTCCCACATATCCTTCTCCCTCTCACGTATCTCCTCCAGCGTACGCGCGTACGCGTCCACGCGCTCGTCCAGGGCCATCAGCTTCCGTCTCAGCGCGCTCAGACGCATCTCATCGTCCGGATCTTCGCTCTCTCGCGCCCGCTCCGCGCACCGCTCGAACACGCCGCCTCGCAAATCCAGCCACTTCCCACTGAACGCCAGCAGAGCGATCCAATCCTTCTCCTCTCGCCCGTCGAACACGTCCACGAGTTTATCATACGTCGCCTTGGACTTCTGCGCCAGGGCCTCGCTCTCGCCGTGGTAGTTTTCGCGCGCGCGGCGCCGAACGAGCGCGCGAGAGTTTCGTTTCTGCGGCGGCGCAAATTTTTGATTCGTCGCCGTAGCGCGCGTCTGCGACCGTTTCGACGCGCATGCGGCGCGCGCGGACGCGGAGGTCGACGCGGCTGACATCTTTCGGTGGGGACGATCGACGCACGCGAGGACGGCGACGCGCGCGAAGGTGTGAGGACGAGGACGAGCTCGAGCGAGCGTCGGGCGACGGAAACGAATGCAAAAGATTTCATCACAAATAATGCGCGCGAGATCTGCGCTCGGCGGCGTGGCGAGCGGCGTACCTGGAGTTGACGGATTTTTTCCTGTGCCATCTTCGAAGCGCGAGGGGGATGACGCGGTTGATGAGGACGTACGCCAATCCCGCGCCGCCGCCGGCCAATATCGCGGCTCGTCTCGCCGAGCTCTCCTTATTCGATTTCAGAGAAAAGCGCTTGGCCTTGGTCTTGGTCTTCTTCGCAGGTCTACTCCTAGCATCATTCCTCTTGGAGTCGCCGCGCGAACGCGAACGATCGCTCGACCGCCAGGGATCCGACGCGACCGCCGCGCCGTCAAAGCACCATCGCTCTCCCGGTTTCACTGGGTCCCACCCCGCCGCCGAGCACATCTCCGCCCCCTTATCCTTCACGTCCCCGATCCACTCACTGAGTTTAGTGCAAATAACGTCCCCGGGTCTACACGGCACCAACCTCTGCGCGCCGTCCTCGGAGAAAAAATCGTTCCGACACGCTCCGTACAAGGCGTCGCACGCCGAGGCGCAAATCGGCGTCCCATCCGCCGTCCCCACCCTTCCATCGCACACACTGCACTCCACCGCGGCCCATGCATCTCGGCACGTCTCCGAGAATCCATTCAACTGCATGTGCACCACTTTCGCCCGCACCGCGTCCGTCTGCGCTCGTCCGCAGCACGTCTTCGCTCGATGCGCGTCGCAAAACGTCATCCCTTTCCCTCTCCCCGGCGCCGACCCCTCACGCGCGAACGCCTCGTGCGCGCGTTTACTCTTACACGTCTCCACCGTTCCCGCCCCTCGCGCGACGCCTCCACCGCACAGCACGAGCACCAGCGTCACCACGATCGTCCGCGACATCATCCCGCCCATCGTCCCGATCCCGACGCGCGATCGCGATCCCACCCCGTCGCGCGCGCGCGCCCGCGTCCGCGCCACCGTCGCGTCGACGCCGCGGTGGATGTATTTTCCCTCCATCTCTCCCGAGCGCGACGCGCGCGGACCGTCGTCGCGCGCGACGCGCGTCGTCGTCTGGGCGGTCGGTCGCGATGCCGGGACGTCGCGTCGATGGAATGATGTCCCCGCACGCGCGCGCGCGCGACGACGCCTCGGCGCGTGCGTCGTGCGACGGGGTGTGGATTTAATCGCCGTCCATCGCGCGGGCGACCGAGGGACGCGGGCGCGCGCGAGGGCCGAGCGGGCGACGCGCACGCGCGCGGCACCGCGGGAGTTGGAGATGTGGAATCTGGCGACGACGCGGACGCCGGTGCCGCGTCGCGCGGGCGATGGGAGGGCGTCGAGCGGTGGCGGTGGACGGCGACGTCGGTGGAGCCGAGGGATGGGTCCGCGGCGGGGGACGACGGACGCGGATGACGGGGCGCGGATGGACGGCGCGCGGGCGGAGGTGGCGCTGACGCGGGCGCCGGAGTGCGCGCTGACGTGGAGCGAAAACGGGGCGTACGCGGTGCGAGGGACGATGACGGTGCGAGGGGTGAGCGCGACGAGCGTGTATAATTTGTTGACGGATTACGAGGCGTCGCCGAGGGCGTTTCGGGCGGTGCGGAGCGTGCGGGTAATCGAGTGCGAGGGCGACGCGTGCGTGGCGACGAACGTGTACATCGAGCAGGAGTGCGAATGGAAGTTTTTTGTCTTCGGTGGGGCGTTCCCGACCGCGTTTGAGGTCGAGGAGAGGGATGAGGAGTTGAAGATGCGGTGCTCGCTCGCGCCGGGACGGCGGGGGACGGGATTTTTGCGGGACTTTGAGGGCGCGTGGGCCGTGGAGGACGGCCCGGAGGGGGTGCGCATCGAGCATACGCTCATGGTCAAACCCAAGTTTACGCCGCCGTACGCGAGCAAGGTATTCGTCCAACAGGTGGATCAGATTTTACAAGATCTCTTGGTCGAGATAGAGAGCTGGAACGGAGCGCCGTACGACGCTCCGCCGCATCGTAGGGGATAGTATTTGTTAAACAAGTATGATTTGCGCTCACGCCCCGGAGATTATCAAACTGATGCCGCACAAGAGCAAGAGGAAGCACAAAACCGTCTTTATCGTGGCTTGACTATCCTTCATCATCTGAAAGATATCCTGACCAATCGCGACGCCGCCTATGCTCACGATGGCGATGACAACATACAGAGGAACATCGTCCGACGCGAACTGGTTGTGCTTTTCGTCCACAGCAGACTTGATCGCGTAAACCAACACTCGCACAAAGACGTTCGCCGCCGTGATGACGGCCCCGTTGCCCTTTTGGACCGCCTTGGACATTTTAATAGGGGCGTGAAGAAAGTAGAGGATGATTGGTGGGCCACGGATGCCGCACAAACCGCCCAAGAAGCCACTCGCAAAGCCCATGCCGACGGTCCAAATCTTGCCTTCCGTCGTCAGAGCAGTGCTCGAAGATGCCACTGGGATATCTCCTGAGGGATCACTCTTACTTCCACGGAAACCGATGATGATTGTGATATCATCGGTACGATCTTCCGAGGATATCCAGCGCTTATACGCCTCGCCCACGAGAGCACGACAAGCGTCCGCCGGATTGTTGTACAACGAGCAGACTTTCATAACCTCGTCAGGGGCGATGAAATCGCTGATGCCATCGCTACAGAGGATAACGACTCGATCTTCGGCTCGTAGAGCGTAGTGCTCGATATCTGGCTCAGCAATGACGCCAAGCGATTCCGCCATGGAATCGCCGAGCGAGCGCGAAAACGCCGTCCCTGGATTCTTGCCCTTAGCGGCGTACACGCGCAGTTGCTCTCCATCATCAACTTCTTTCAAGGAAAGACTCTTTCTGAACTTTCGCATCGGTGAGGCGTGTGTTTGTGCGGCATCGCTGTCTATCTGTGACTCCTTCATGACGCGGCCACCGGAGCTCTCAATACGCTGGCGCTCAGCTGGATCGGTGAGCGTGTGCTCTTTCATCAGCACTTTAGCCTCTAGCGTTCGGCCATCTTTGGCACCGATTTTACCCACCATGCAGATAGAATCACCAACGTTCGCTATGCACAAGTTCGTGTCGTCCAGATACACGCACACGGATGTCGTGCCAGATTTTTCGTCATTTATCGACTTGTCGTCGTGGAGAGCTTGGTTCACGACCTCGTGTGCGTCGCGAAGAGCCGACGCGGCATTTTCACTTCGGCGCATCGTAGACTCAAACTCTTTGAGTATGTGAAGTTTCGCAAAGTTGGAACACACATCGCCGGTGGTTCCATGACCATCAAAGACTGCCGCAAAATGCTTGCCCTCGCGTCCGGCAACATTCGCCTGGAGATCGAAGGAATCTTGGTTCTTCTTCAGCCTATTAAAATCAGTCGGATAGTATCCCTTTTGCGACAAGGCTGCCCAACGAATGTTCGAACCGTCACTACAGGTAGTCACGTGCTCCTTCATGGTCAATCCGGCAGCCACCTCCTCATCTGTCAGGTAGCCGTAAATGTGCGCATCCTTGGGCCACTCATGTGGATACGGTGCGTCCGTGACGTCACCAACGTCGATGCAGGCATGTTCGTCTTTCCACGCTATCAACTGTGCTGGCAAAGAGAGCACTTCGGCCTGATGCTTCCGCCTCGCTGCGTCGCCGGGATTCTCGACCTCAAGGGTTGCCATCATGTTCTGAATGGCGAGTTTGTTGAGGCGCCCGAACTCTTCTATCTGCTCTTGCGAAAAAACCAGCGGTCTCTTTTTATGAGGCACGATGTGCGTTTCATAAGAAAGGCGCTTCATATGATTGTGCGCAATCGACTCAATGAGTAAGAGGTCGTTCTCAGACAATGGCTCATCTCCGTTGAGCCATTTCTTGTGCTGTTTTGCCGCGAAAGATTGCCCTCGCACAAGATTTTGGAACTGGTAAGAAAGACCGGCAGCGGCTGCCGCCTGTCGACCGCGTTTCGCGCCATCGATTAAAGTGCTCACGTCCTCGAGACCCAACACGCTACCTCTGCGCTGCCCCATCCCGAAGCGGCGCTTGCCGATGAAGTCGTATATTTTTTTTATCGTAGCTTCTTTCTCGCTCAGCAACTCTTCATAGTGAACCTTCAACATCAAGTGAGAATGCGTATCCATAATTGGTAACACGGCGTCTTGCAGTCCGCACCACTTGGTGAGGATTGGGTAATAGTGACAGTCCCCTACGGGCGTCTTCATGAAGGACATCGCAACATCACGCGGGTCGCGCACGAGGTACAAATAGCGCAGGCGATGCTCACCGTAGTACTGAAGCAGCATGTCATGATACTTTGACATTCCCATCGACTTGCACATCCAAATACGCTTGTCGTTTGCAATCGTGAACTCGTTGTAGACGAAGTCGAAGATGGCAAGAAGATGCATACCCTTCGGGAGAGTAGTACCTTTGGCCGTTGCTCGGAGTACGTCAAGTTTTTCCGTAACGAACCTCTCACATTCAGCGCGATTAAAGTTAATTAACGTGTTGTGAATGGTGAGCCAAGGAACTTGGTTACGCTCCACAAAAGTACATACGTGATCAATTAGGATACGTAAGTATTCCGGATCGTCGAGATTGCCAAACTTGTCCAGAATGGGCATAAAGTCTCGCATGATGTGCGGAGGATGAGGCGACGCGAGGTCCTCGCGCTCATCGAGCATAGTTCGAAGCCAGTTGGAGCCAGAGCGCTGCGAGCCGATCATGAAGAAGGCCGGCGCGCTTTCATCGACTTTTCTCTTTTTGTATTGCCCAGTATGCGCCAGCCCAGAGATAGGTGCCGAAAGCGTCATTGTCATCCACTCATGGGCAAGCGCACCAGACGCATCTAGACGTTTCATAGGATCTACTTCAAGTAGTGCGCGGATGAAATTCTTCGCAGCCTCAGACTTGTTTCCCCAAATGGGATGTTTGAAGTCAAAGTGGCTCTTTTGCATCTGCTCAAGGAGTGGAGGATCAGAACACTCGTCGTCAAATGGATGGAATCCAGCCATAAGGTTGTACGCAATGACTCCAAGACTCCAAGCGTCACAAGCGGCACCGTATTCGACTTTGTACGTGCTCCCCGGGTCCAACATCTCAGGTGAGCTGTAGTTTGGCGTGCCAACAAAAGTCGAGTGTTTGCCCGCATCATTGATGAACTCGGCGAGACCAAAATCAGCAATTTTCACCACTGGCGCGGAACCCGCGTTCGTCGCCGCCTCGGCGAGCATTATGTTCTCCGGCTTAAGATCACGGTGTATGATGCCGTGCGCTTGCATAGTTTTGGCGGCTTCAAATAGTTGTCTCATTATTTGGCGTGCTGTTGCCTCCTCGTACGCGCCGTTGTCCGCGAGGTGATCAAAGAGCTCACCGCCGTGAATCAGTTCCATCACAAAGTACCAGCGAGCGTCCGTTTCGATCACCTCGACCAAGCGAATAATGTTCGGATGATCGAGATCTTTCATAACTTTCGCTTCCATCCTGGCCATGTCATCGGCCGTCATTATCTTCGCCTGCTTGTCGCTGATGTTCGGTCCCAGTTTCGTCTTCTGGATGATTTTCATCGCGAATCGCTTCTTTGACTGTTTGTGTTCGGCAAGTTTTACGACGGCCTGCGACCCGCTCCCGAGCTCCTGAAGCAAGTCGTAATCGCCGATCGAAGTTTCATCGTCTCTCGTTGGCGCGACGCAATCGCGCACCACCGTCACGACTAGCGCCCGATTCCTGTACAGCTCGAAACACGCGACGCCGAGCACGAGGATCCCCGCGACGAGTTGAATCACCTCGACGTTCACGTAATCCCCAGCCAACTGCCCGAGCGGCGTCGACACAATCGTCACCGGCAAAAATAATCGCATCAACGATCTCGTGGCGTATTTTCGCGGATTCGCGTTCTTCAACAACAGCGGCTGCGCCGCGAGCAGCGAGAGCGACTGAATGAAAATCGCCCGCCTCGCGTCGACTGCGTGTCCGCTCACGTCCGCGATCTGCACCACGAGCCAGTACACTATGGCCATACCGAACCCTGTGACCGCGACGCCGGCGTTACCGACGAACGCGGCGAGCGATAACACGGCGTACGCACTCGCGGAGACCATGACGCGCGACCGTTGATCACGATGACGATGACGACGACGACGACGACGACGACGACGACGACGGCGCGCGAGACGTCACGACGACGAAGGAGCGCGCGCGTCGTCGGTCGATCGCGTCGATGTGCGGCACGTCGAGAAGAACGCTCGCGCTCGAGGCCGAGGAAGGGGCGAGGCGTCGGAACAGTGCAAAGTCGGAACAGTGCAAACGCGATCCCGTGAAAAAGGCTAGACGACTGAACGCCGTGCCGCGGCGCTCGACGCGGAGCGCCGAGACGCGTGGGGAGAGTTGAGAACGCATCTACAGGGCGCGCGATCGATTTGGGGGTTATTTCGTGCACGTGCGTGTTGATGATTACAAGTACAGCGTCGTCTACGCGGTGGAGGCCAAGACTTGCTCGGCGAAGAAGCGAACGTCGACATCGGGGTCGCTCTGCAAACCGACTAGAATCGGTTTGATTTCGCTTTGAACTTTTACCCCATCGATGGTCCCAATGATCGGAGAGAGCGCCTTAGCGGCGTTGAAGCGAACGTTTGGGACCGTGTCGGTCGTCGCGTGCTTGATGATGGGCAAAATCTCCCCCAAAATGACGTCCTCTCCCACGGCGGGGGCCAAGAGAGACAACGCACGAAGAACCGTCAGCCGGTACAGGTAGTGCGGCGAGGACATGAGCTGTTTGATGCGCGGGAAAATGTACTGAAGCGCCCAGCTCGAGCCGAAAATTTCCGTCAGGTGGAACAAGTTGTTCGCGGCCGCTTCGCGGATGGCGTAAACGGGGTCTTGCACCCACTGCAGGCAAAGCGAGTTGAGCATGTCTTCGCCGCCCTCGCCGGCATTGTCGTTCCGGAACAAGAAAGCCGTCCCGATTTGCTGCGCGAACACTGGAATGTACTCAATGATGGCTAGTCGCACGCGCCAGTGCTTATCCTCTGCCAACTCCTTGATGGCCGGCAGGAGCTCTTTGGCGAGCATTTCAACCCCAATCACAGTGTTCACTTGATCTAGCTTGCTGATGATGTTCAATCGCACATCCGGGAACTCATCCTTGAGAAGGATGAAAAACACTGGAAGCAACTTCTCCACCGTCAATTCCCTGCCCATGGTCGGCGCCAAACCCAGGATGGCCGCCGCAAGTGCCGCTCTCACATGCTGCGACTGATCCGTAGCGAGTTTGTTCACTTGAGGCAAGATCTTTTCAGAGGCGTACTCCGGCCCCGCAAGGGCGCAGAATTCTGATATCTTACCCGCCGCCGAAATTCTTACCTCTCCTTCCGTATCGGCGAGCAAACTAATGAATGCATCGAACAAACCCGTCGCCGCGTGTTCAGCGCCCACAACCTCGCACATTTCGTATATTTGCTGCGCAACCGCATATCTAACGCGCCAGCTCTTGTCTGCGGCGAACTTGAGCATGATCGGAATGATCTTGTTCGCACAATCCGTCGTACTGAGCAGCTTACCCAAAACAACGCAATCCTCGACGACGAGCAGTCGCACAGAGTCTTGGTCGTCACCAGTCAACGCCGCAAAGTTCGCCAACAACTCGTTGACGATAAAGTTTGCCGAGCTCACCTTGGCGATCTTCCCCAAATTTTGCGCCGCCGCGCGACGAACCATGGGTGTTTCGTCCGCGCAAAGTTCTTTAAACAGTTTGGTCAAAGTCTTACGCATTTCCAATTGCGATTCTTCCGACTTCTCGAACGCCGTCGAGAACAACCCGCACGCGCTCACGCGCGCCGTGAACCAATCTCCCCGCGCCAATCGCTCGATTAACGGCACGAAGTACTTCCCAATTCCCCCGG